AGTCCAAACCTTCCGTAACATNACGCAACTCCTGGCGGGCCATAACAGCGCTGTTTTGATATTGTATTGCGAATGCTTCGTTTTTGAACTCTGGTTTCAATTGTTCACATTATTTTTGATCAGCATTCGCAGTTTGACAGTATAAGACAGATGACGAATTTCGTTCGACGGCCGATGTCAAAACTTGGCTTTGCAACGAATCACCTTGGAGAGCCTTCGTCTGGGAGGATGTGGTAGCCTTTACTTACTCAGGTTTGTACTTTAAGAATAGTTGAGTCCAATGAGGGATTCGTGTTTCAGTCTAGCACCACCAGAACCGCTGAAGAGTTCTATGGCGGATCGAAACAGTGCTGTCTGGTGTCGGATCACGAATTTCTTGTTTTTGGGCTCTGGTTCCAACTATTCACGTTGCTGTTGATTAGTTTTTGGAGTTTGTCAATAACAACAATCGATCTTTCAGATAATAGACCTATACATAAAACTTTTTTCTTTTTTTTTCTCAACGAGAATTTCGCCAACCAAGTTAGCATCCTCAGGAGATTATTAGTTATTCATCTCCTGATGATGCAGATATTTCTGCCATGTTAAGTCAAGTAGGTAGAATCCTGAAATTAGACAGTAGGAAAGACAGATATTTCTGCTATATAACGTGAAGTCCGTATAATCTAGAGATTAGACAGGAGGAAAAACCTAGATTTTTGCCACTATAATCTTAAAATTAGACAATAGGAAAGACACTATTCCATCAATGAATTTTATAGTCAGAACAGTTTCATCAGAAAAATCCGGTTCTTTTTTCCACATCATTCGTTTTACATGAACATAAAATCACGAGGAATTTGTGTTTTGAGTAGGCTATGTTAATAACTTCCCAAGATGCATTTATGCAATACATGAGTAATAAGTAATGGATCAATTGAAAATCTATTCTGTTTTTTCTTTATCCAGCACACACTTTGTTTATTCTGTTAGTAGAAGTATTTTTCTCTGTATATTTAATTCTTCCTCCTATTGACATTTTTCAAGAGTCTCGTGACTGTCGATGAAATTTTCGCTCGACTACGATTCCGAAAGTTTCTGATATGTAAAATCACTTTTCGATCTTTTCGAGTAGTTTAATTCTTTGGACGAGACCTTTTCGAATGCTTGAGTTCCAGCTAGTTAATTGCTGAATTTAATTGAAGTGGAGAAACTGAAATTCAGTCACGCTATTCCTAGGTGAAGTTCGACCTTCATTAGTTTGAATGGAGTGATTTTCTTCGTTGAACTAACAGTTTGACATAATTCAAAAGTGGTAACGTCTTAGTCCTAGATTGGTGATTGCTTGATCGCCGAAAAAAGGTCACTGATTAGCCAATTTGAAACCATGAATAATAAAAAATATGTTTTTCATATTAGAGTATACATAATAACGAAAGTGCTTCAGGTTCTCAATGTTTCAATGCCTCATATCGTACGTAGCCTATGACAGAATATTATTCCATTTTAATGCAAGAAAATTCCATCGTGGAAAGAGTCAGTTTTGGAAATTAAAAAAAGTTAAAGGCAAAAACATGAAACACGATTTCAAACCAGGAAGTTTTATATACCTCAGCATTTTTATTGTTTCATAAAACTGACATTGAACATTCTTTGGATTGTGGATTATATATAAACACTTTCGCCCCTAAGCATACTCTCAGGCTTCGTATTCTGTTCAGAAAAGAAGCAAGATTTTCTACAAGGAATTTCACAGGAAGTGTTTGGGAGACTTCTTTGATAATTTCAACACATGACGTTAAAGAATAATTTGTTTCAAAATCGAAATTCTCATAGTTTTGAATTTTCTCAAAAGTTACGTTAATTTGCTGTTCAATCTTCTACAATAAGGGACCGGTGAAAAAAATGCTAACCAGGTTCGCAACGTTAAAAATCTGCGTTTCTCCAGAATGTATCTATACTGGTTGGTCAATAATTGGAAGAGATTTTTGTTCTCAGATGAGATATCATTTCTTGAAAATATCATAATTGAAATATTCTTGGGAAAGAAGGGTTTTGGCTTACTTCTCCATCATTTCAATTTTCGCTACGGCCCTGCTTGGTTCAACAAAAATTGCGAGCAAGCTGTCGCCTCCAAAAATCTCGTTTATTAGCAGTGGCGCAAAAATTCCAGTACCGAAAACCGAACTAGGTTCCTTAATGCTCGCAACATCTGCAAACTTAGGCTAAATGGAAGCAAAGAACTTCACATTCAGAGAATTAGCGATAAACTGCTTGCCAGTCCCAACGGGTCCAGATTATTCTGGTCAGTAGCTAAAGCTGCTAATCAAAACTTTTCAAAATTCACAATTCCACCACTAACACAAACGGATGGTTCAGTTGCAACAACAGCCATAGAAAAAGCAAATTTATTAGCTGAACAATTTGCGTCCCACTCCACAGTCGATTTTCTGGGAAAGGCACCACCCACTATTTCCACGCTAGAATCCACAATGCCGGAATTTACTTTTCGACAGCGTCTAGTCAGCCGAATTTTGAAACAGCTCAATATCAACAATTCGTCTGGTCCTGATGAAGTCCCCGTCATCGTACTTAAAAAGTGCACAAATGAACTCGCACCAGTATTTTGCAGACTTTAACCTGTCTTACAAGAAAGGCGTTTTCCTTCTTGTTGGAATATTGCTCGCGTTTAGCCTATTCCCAAAAAGGGCAAGAAAAATCTTCCAAACCACTATAGACCAGTCGCTTTGCTATCAGTGATATCAAAAATCGTGGAGAAAGCCTTAAACCACATCCTTAAATATTGGAAAGCTTTAACATCTTGGTCTTTATCAGTATGGCTTTCGGAAACAAAGATCATCAGACGACCTTCTATCGTATGTCACCCATTTTTGGAATAACGCAATCGAGAAACGTGGAGCTTCAAGAGCTTTGACCGTGTATTGCTGGTCAAATTTCGATGCTATGGCTTATGTGCGGCTCTCCAGCTTCCTGAAAGAATGTTTCCTGTACGATAGATATATCTCGAATACTTTTACCATCAACGCTGGTGTTCCCCAAGGATCCATATTGTCTCCAACCCCTCTTTTTATTGTATATCAACGACTTATTGGAAAAAAACAAGAATCCAATATTATGCTTTGCTGACGACAGCACACTTGTCTCGTCATCCCATTTGAATTCCTGGACATCGGCTGCGGAAACACATCTTCACCTGCAGCAGGAGGTTGCATATCTTAATGAGGATCTAGAAGTAATTGAGAATTGGGATGAAAGTAATCAGGTTCAATTCAGTGCTACAAAAAACTCAGGCATCGGTTTTCTCCGAAACTGGATATAATAATGCTTACTCGCTTGCCGCCACAACCAATTTCCCGCAGTAGGTAAATAGCTGGTGCTGTGAACCTGAATGGGAGTTATAAAGTTTGTTAACACGATTCTTTACTTAGCTTCAAGTTAGCTCAAATGCCTAGTACGTGTGCGGATGGCATCCACCACTACGCCATCACTGCCTGCCATCAACACACTGTCGAGGCGAGTTTTATACGCAATTATCACAGTTTGTGTTTTTCCGGTGGAGATTTGTTTTTCCGATGACATGAATATTAAATTGATTTCACTCATTATCCTATATTGCGTTGGTATAAATGATTTATAAGTCTCTGAAGCAGGTCATTCCTGTTGATCTTTGGAAAATTGCTAAGTTTCAAGCTTGTAGGTATGCCAGTATGCTTCCATCTCGGATTCACTGATATATGGCACGTTCATGTTAATTCTCTCACAGTAGGTATAACATTGCTGTTTACATGGATTTTCCGGTAGCGGTATTTTTTCACAACACGATTATTAAATATCTCATGCAATTCTCAAAATACATTCCAAAAGAAACTAAATGCAAAATTCAATATGTGACCGGAATAATTTAATTTTTATTTTAAACTATGTTGCTTGTTGTATACTTCTATAATAATTTGTTCCATCACACAATCTATTTTTTTTGTCCAGTTACTCCCTTTTTTTATAATGAATATCAGGTAAAGTGTAAGAGTAGGTATAGCTAAACTTTGCCTATTATGTAATATTAGATGTTTCACCGTAGTGTACGCTAGTCAGGCTCTATCCCCAAAGCCTCCTCCTCACACCGTGGGGTAAGTGATCATTAGGTCCGAGAATCATGTGCCCTGAGCAAGCGCAGTGAACCTAAAATGACAGCCTTCTGCATCTGTCCGGTTGAGATTTCTTCCTTAGTGCGGCAAGTCGTAGTAGAGAGGGCATCATTCCACCGAGGACTCCAATAATCAGAACAACCATCGTGACAGAGTTATCATCATTATTATTATTGATACTTATCGACAATTAGTGACATAGATGAGCGCTTGGAGCTTGGAGGGAAATTAAAAGGGTTGCTACCCAAAGTCTTTACATAGCTCCAAGCTAGACGAAACACCGGTGTTACCTCACGATTTGGTATATATTAAATCCGTTATGGGAATAGAGAAGTGCCCAACTTTCACTGATACAATCTAATTGACATGATAAAGATCCCCATCTAAGTGAAATACTATTTTTCGATGAGTTTTCCGCTCCAGGCGAGAGCATTATTATTCGAAAAGAGGAGGATAACGGATGAAATACTAAAATTATGTCTTCGACTTTATCCAGACCACTCTGTTGATGTTGAAATGGTTGTTCAGATTATTGAAGTTCTTGGTGGAATGATACCCTCCATTGATATCTTGACTCATTAATAGATCCCTATACATTACTGTATTGATCATCGGATTCGTAGATTCCAGGCGTTCAGTTTTTTACTGAAATTAGCATTTCTTTGGTTATGTTACGTTCTGTTCACCTCTGCTAATGACAACAAATCATACTTCGATTCGTGACAAGAAAACCTCTCTTAAACCGTGCTATAGAAATTTAATTTATAGCGATATTGCGATTGACTTAAAACACGGCATCTCTTTATTGCTCTTGATATCTCTACAATCATAATATTTGTCCAATTCTTGTTTCAGTGTCTTTTCAGCAATCGAGCATTCATGCCATCAGAAGTTTTTCAGCGAGTTTTCCGGCGAGACGAGCTTCAGTTAGCGCCGCTCTCATGTTGGGAAATCATTCGAAATCGCCTGCGTATCCACCGAAGATACAAGAGAAAAGAAGTACCAATTCCACCCTACCTGATGATGACGAAAGAGTGCCAAAACGACGCCTTGTTAGGAATAACACGGAGGAACCAAAGACTGTCAGGTTGGTAATATAATAATATTACTCCTCACAGAGTTTAAACTTTCACAGCCAAAAATAACTGTATCAGAACTATTTTCTGAGTCTATTGGCCGTGGTCTGCAGGTTTTAATGCCTAGACATTTCATCTACAAGTGCGGTAGACATGCGAGAGGCATCGGACTAAGTGTTGTACTTGCCTCACAGTGCATACACGTTGTTCAGGGTTCGAGTTTCTGGTTTTGTTCCCTCAGTAGTTGTCGTGGCTTCATTATTGTTAGTTGAATTCAACAGCCTGATTAGTGTGCAATTTAGTGAAGGTAGACAAACATGGTTTACGTTAATTTCCTCTTCCTTTTGGTTGAAATTGACTGTGTTTCGAATTTCTGTCACCCCCTTATAAAGTCTTGCACACTAGCTCTGAAAACTGTCGAACGCTTGGGTCCCTTTCATAACACAATTAATCTTCACCTAAAGCATTTTTTTATTCAACTGAACAACTAACTTCATATAATGATTTGGGGTAGGTAGGTCTAAAGTGAGTGGGTCTATTTGACCCTCCACCGCAACCCATAAGGGTTTATTGTGGCTCACACCTATTCACACTCGGGCAATTAAACCCAGCTTCTAAACGAAGCCGATTAGTTTGTATAGTGAGTGGCCTTTCAGGTCAGATGATGAGAGTACGGATCTGCCAAACTCAAAGAACCTGATTCGGTCCCCAGCGGGGCAGGCACAAAGTATATGCTCTGCAGTTTCATCATTTTCCAGACAGAGGCGACACACACTATCTTCCGACAGTCCAAGTCTCTGCATGTGATGATTCAAATGACAGTGACCTGTAAGAAGGCCTGTTAGACGTCGTAGTTCATCCCTACTGTAGTCCAACAACTCTTTGGAATCAAGCTTCGAAGGGTGAATAAAAGTCTTGGAGTGAGCCAATCCTGGAATATTCTGCCAGAAGTCCATAACTCTTCTTGTTTGGCAAAGCCCAAAGCGATGCCAATGACAGGTTCTGGTCCAATGAAGCCACTTGCAGCACATGATTTGGGGTACAAGGGTTCACTCATCAACTTTCGAATTGTCCAGGTAACATGTTTTAAGATATTATATCTTCAGCAGAAGAAGAAGAAGATGTGGTAATTAAAATATCCCAGAACATCCAATGTCGTCAAAATGATGAAAAAGATTTATTTTCAGTGATGTTTTCAAGTTATAAATGGAAAAATAATAAAGGGAAATAATAAAATGAAATTAAATAATTTGGCAAGAAGAAATAAATGAAAAAAAAAACATAAAGCCATATAGTGTTTCATATAACATCCTACTGCAAACAATCCTACTTAGATCTGACATAGGTTTCATCAGTAAGTACTAGGCAGAGTCATGAATGTACGTTCAAGATATTTTCTCTTTATTATGAACAAGCTATAGAAATAGCGAACGATGTCAAAACTTTGCAATAGACCACGGGATCACATAGAATAATTTGTCATGCAAACATTTTTCTTTTTATTGATAAACAGAAAGAGAATATTGAAATATCATCAACTCAAGAATGACATTGAGACTAATCTGAGAATTCTGTGATGAACTGAGAGAAGGAATAGATCAGTGGACTTTATACTGAGTGCAATAAAACTTTCAAATCCATATATGGACACCGAAACAGCTGACTAGGCGAGACAAAATTATTGGTACGGACCCAGATCTGCTTCAACAGAACAAGAATAGGCTCATATACATGACTACTTGCTGGTAACTATACATTTAGGGGACACCTGAACAAAATAGGATTGTATAACGGAGAACTAAGCTGTAGACTAACATTGCAACAATTAAAATGTGAGGTTCTAGATAAGATAAGCCAAGCTACCTACAAATTAGTTACAGGAAATATGGTTACAACGGGGAAAAATTGAGTTATCATCACTTGAGAACAGGCACATGTTCGTAACAACACAAAATAGAGGGAACTGATGACAAATTTGCCAACAAAAATATGGGGAGTATACACACAATTTAATATCAATGTCAATGTTTGCCTATCTAACTGTTTTGGAAAATGATTGAACCCGAATCCGTTTTCAACTAATATTATGTTTCAGCAAGATGAGGTACCTATTCATTACGACGAGCTGGTTTAAAAGTGACGAGATGACAATCATCCTAACCAGTGAATATGTGAACGTTAGTCCTTTGAATGACCCGCAGTATTACATGACACCCTCAGAATTTTGTAAGGATCGGTGGAACCTAAAGTTTACGTTACACAGTAGTGTACTCCAGAGCTCATGATTAGAATAAGAGGTGTTCCCAACGAAAGAACCCCAGAAACAGTCCATAATGAATTCCTAAATGTACTTCAGTATTGTGGGGAAGTGAATGGTGACCAATTCAAACTTTTACCGAAACGAACTGAGTGAGTTTGGAATACATTTTTTTTAATTATGACATTTATCGTTTTTTGTCAATCCTTAAAATTGATACAAAACTGCTAATTACTCAGGAATGGCTGATCTGATTCTCAAAAATGAAAAAATGTGGAAAGAGAATTGAAATGCCTATCAAACGAATTATCACAAGACCCCCTATCCATTTAAAAAAAAGTTGGTAGCGCCCTCTCGGTGGCGAGTGATGCAACAATGCAACACTATTGTCTATTTTATTGGAAAGTACTATTTATGTAAATTTTATCCGACCTTTTGTTTCTGTTCAAAAGAGTGCGGGAGACTATTTACGTCCGTACTGTATATCTGTGTAGATCGTTAATGAAAAAACTTTGAAGAACGAAGAAATTTTCCTGAATCGATTCAGTGATCATTATAGAACGTCAAGTTTTCCTGAAAAATCTCTCTAATCTGTAGCTAGATTAACCAATGCAAATAAGATAGAGCAAGCAGTAGTATTTTCCAAGAACACTTTATTAAAAAAGAAATAAAAAGAATCCCTTCAAAAAGTGGTCAAATAACAAAGACATATATGAATGTAAAAATACTAGTAAGTAGGTAAAGGTCTTTCGGCCTTTCGAGAGCTTTGGGTTCTGGTTTCAACCAGTTGCTTTATAGTGAAAGCTACAGAGAAAGACAGTGGTCGATGTAAAAGCATGGTTTTGCAACGATCCGCCTTCGAAATCAAAACAGACAGGACAGTATACGCTCTGGTGAGAGGTAACATAAGACAAAATATACATCAATCTATCAAAAATACTCGAAACATCCTTTGAGATGATAGGGCGTCATTTGTTTTGAAAATTTCTTGGTTCTTGCTTCGTTGAAAATAACGTTGTATGGTTCAAACCCCAGGACATTGAAGCACTTTCGGCTCGTGGTCAAATGCATACTCTTTTTAAACTGTGTCTTTCTTACCTCTGCTGTTATAGTTATGATACTGATCAAAAAACCTTGATGTGGAGTGTCAAGTTGAAAGGAAACCGAAAGAAATACCTAAAGCAGATTTTTGGGAAAGAAAAGCTTTGGCTTTCTACTCCTCCAAAAAATGTTCGGAGTACAAACTTAATGAAAAAAGTGATTTTCGTATAATTCAATATTGATATGGAAGTAGTTGTTTTAGGGGGGCTTTTTTCCAGTTTGTATCTGAGAGCAACTTCTATACATGATCTTCACATCTTTGTAATGAGTTTATTTTGAAACTAACTGCTTTCTTTCTTCCTTCGAAAGTTTCCTACATTTTTTGCATGGAGATGGAGAAGTAGAACGCCAAAACATTTCTTTCCCAAAACCAAAAACAAGAAAAATTTCCCAAATAAATCTTCAGTGATATAAAAAATGATGGAAAAATCCGTAAATCACCATATCCTTAAATATTTGGAAGGCTTCAACATCTTGAGCGAACATCAATATGGCTTTCGGAAACAAAGATCAACAGACGACCTTCTATCTTATGTCACCCATATTGGAATAATGCAATCGAGAAACATGGAGAGTCAAGAGCTGTTGCGCTTGATATTTCTGAGGCCTTTGACCGTGTGTGACATGAGGAGGTTTGCTGGCCAAACTTCGATGCTATGGATTGTCGAATCATTTTCGCTGTGGGGCTCTCCAGCTTCCTTAAAGAACATTCCCTGCAAGCGACCGTCGATTAATATCTCTCGAATACTTTTACCCTCAACGCTGGTGTAACCAAGGAATCCATATTATCTCCAACCTTCTTTTCATTGTACCTATATCAATGACTCATTGGAAAAAAGTAAGAATCCAATATATCGCTTTGCTGACGACAGCAAGCACACTTGTTTCGTAATTTCATTTGTATTCCAAGACATCGGCTGCAAATGCACATCTTCACCGGCAGTAGGAGGTTGCATATATCAATGAGGATATAGGAGTGATTTCGAATTGGGGTGAAAGTAACCAGATTCAATTCAATACCACAAAAGCCCAGGCATCGGTTTTCTCCAAAAAGATAAATGTCTCCAAACCGGATACAACAATGACAGGACATACAATTCCGCTTTCTGCTTCTATAAGTTTGTTGGGAATTAAAATGGACACCAATATGTCTTGATCTCAGTAACTTTTGATGCTTTATAAACCTCCATTAGACCTTCTTTGGAGTATTGTTCTCATGTATGAAGCTCCGCCCCCAAACATACCCTGAAGCTACTGGATTCCATCCAGAAAAGAGTCATCCGCCTGGTTGGACCTTGATAGTCTGGAACATCGAAGAAAGGTTGGAGATTTGTCTCTCTTCTATAGATACTTTCACGGGAAGTGTTCAAGTGACTTGGTACATTTGATTCCACCAAGTGCGGTACATATCAGAAATACGCGACGGACTGTGACTGCTCATCGTTTTGAGATTCAACTCAGTACACCTCGAACACCACTGTTTAAGAACTCTTTCTTTTGGAGAACTGAGTTTATGTGGAATAAACTTCCTCAGAATGTTTTTCTAATTGGACTTAATCTCCAGCGATTCAAATTCAATGTGAATCGCTACTTTCGCACAGGCACCGCTCTTAGAGCGTCTTAAGGATTTTCCGGTACTGCTTGTGTTTTGTC